CACCACCACCATGACCACCATCATCACCACCACCATCATCACCACCACCATAATCACCACCACCATGACCACCATCATCATCACCACCACCATGACCACCAGCATCACCACCACCATCATCACCACCACCATGACCACCACCATGACCACCACCACGATGATCACCACCACCATGACCACCACCATGACCACCACCACCATAATCACCATCACCATGGCCAACATCACCACCACCACATGACACCATCATCATGGCTATCACAATTACCATCACCACCACCACCCCAACATCATTATCACCATAATTATCATCATCCCCATGTGGAAGAAGGAAAGTCAAGCTTCTGAAGGGTTAGGTAACTTTCCTAAAGTCAAACTACTAGTAAATTGAAATAGATCTTTTGAGTCCAAATATTTTGCTCTTTCTACTACGCCCTGCTATTCCCTCAGTTTGGAAGTCTGAATGGTAATGACCAAAGATTTAAAAACAATGGTGGCTCTAGAATTTTTGTAAGCAAAGTACTTAGTATAGCAACATGGCTGGAGAAGGGGTTTGGCCCTCTGCTAGAAGTTGTTTGCAAGCATATAACTTTATATCCAGAGTGTAGATCACTCAAAATAGCCATGTTTTCTGAAGAAGCTTTTTTATCATGTTTTTTTATTAAGAGTTAAAATTCTAATTTATGTTTCAGTTTTTAGGGATACTAATGGAGATTAATTGGGGGCTGAAGCATGCCCCACCGCAAAGATATCCTTGGTACCCCTCAGTATATAAACCAGAAACTGAAGGAGAAGAGTTTGTTTTTGCTAATATTTCAGTCACATAATTTATCTGAAAGTAGTTAAAAGTGCCTTCCACAAATCACATCTGCATATTTGATTCTCTGACATACTTTTCTTCATGTACCATTCTAATCAGTTTGTTGTGCTGATATAAATAAGAAGAAAAATCCCACCGTAGAAAATATTTTCATATTTACTCCTTCTCAGAGTTTCCCCAATGCCAATTTAGAGAGAAAAAAGTTCTATTCAACTGCTCAGCCAGCTGACTCCACTTGTGATCTGAAAGTCAAAGTATTCTCTTCTTGTTTCTTAGCTGAATGGATGGTTTAGAATGAAGTTGAGAGGGAGAAGGGTCCAGATGGTTTTCCCCTGTTGCTGTTTTGAGTGGTATAGTATATTTAAACATTTAACCCCCAATGATCCAGAGACTAAGAAGGAAAACATTGCAATTTAAAGATGGCACCATAATCTCATCACTTTTCAGAAGGCAGCAATTTGTTCTTTCCTCTCTTTGTTTTATTTAGAAATGTTTATTTCCTAGGGCTACACCTCATTATACAGCTGAAGATGAAATACCAGATCTTTTTCTCTGTTTGCTAGGTTATCTATTACTGACAATCTTTACAAAGTTGACATAGTGTTTTTTTCCTCTCTTAAGTTCTTTTTTTTT